TTTTTACAATTATATCGTGCAAAAACACTTTAATGTTACTGCATAACAAGAGTTAGTAAGTGTAGAAGCACGTTATTATTAGTGCACAACGAAGACTACCTAGTGTAGAAGCACTTCGTTGTTAGTGCACAACATAGAGTACTAAATGCGTAAACACTTCGTTGTAACAATAAACAAAAAAGAGGTTTACTTTATTAGGTAATTTTAGTTGCTAAGAAATTTTGCCAAATTAGTAGCTTCAATATATTGTTAAATATCATTTGTAAGTACCAAATAAAGTTCGTCCAGGTTCTAATGTCCAAATAAAATACAATCAGCTGAAGTTTCATTTATATTTACTTTCTTATGATCAATCAGTTAAAGAGAAAAAACCCGATTAATCTGTTGTATCATCTCCCACGATCCATCTAATACCTTTAAAAAGGATACCCTTTACACATTAAATAATAATTAGCTCCTTAGCAAATGCTACTAACATGGCAACTTGATTTTTTTGTTTATATATTTTAAGTTAATTAAGGACAATTTGTGGAATTTTAAATGTTTCACCGAGCCAGTGATATTTTTTTTTTCACTTAGGCTACTTGGGTTTGACCCATTAATACTTTAGGTCACAAACATTTTACATTATGTCACAATGTACGAGATTTACCTTTTTGCCCATGCTTTTTTTTTTTTATAATAAATTTTGAATTTTTAACTAGTATTAAACTCAAATAAATAAATAAAGAAGGCAAGGGTAGGGATTAGTTACAGAGATTTGATTGTATCTCTAATCTTCTTCCCCCTTCTCATATCAATAACTAAAATGAAAAAAAGGGGAATATCAACGCATCCCCAAAAAAACGATTGATCTCTATCAATAAACCTGCCAAAGACCCGAACCATAAAGCACTTACTACCGGTGCCACGGAGAGATATGTTTTTAGATATCGCATTTTAAAAACTCCTCTTTCTTTATTCGTTATTGTAATTTGTAATACATAATTGTAATACATATATGACCAGATGTGTATATGTAGTTAATGACTGACCTAGGGGTGGTTGCGGTTTGGTAACCGCGAATTTTTGCCCAAACCGCAAACTGATCGACTATTTGCGGTATGTTAATTTTTGAAACTGCAAACCGACCGCAAAAAACGGTCGGTTATCATGAATTAGCGGTTTAAAATCGCAAGTTCTTTTTGTGTCATAAAAATCAAATATTCCACATTTTAGGCCTAATTTTGATGCTTCTTTTGAAGCCTTTTGATTTCAAGCATACTTTAACCCAAAAATATAAATTCACAATCTCGACTTCTCAAGCATATATAAATTCTCAACCTCCTCAACTTCTCAAACATTCACAACCTAAAGAAAATTAAAGTTACAATTTCAAGCATTCCAATTAAAGTTAAACTTCTCAAGCATTTGCAACCTCAACTTCTCAAGCATTCCAATTCCAAATCCTTTAAAGTTACAAATTGAAAGAAAAATGCAATGCAATATGAATTAAAGTTACAACCCAAAGGAAAAATCCAATTTAAAGTTAATTAAAGTTACAAACTAAAAGGAAAATACAATGCACCAATGTTACAAATTAAAGTTACAAACTCAAGTGTTAGTGGTGGTGAGTGGATTTGAAGGACCCAGTTGTGTTGTTTGAGCACCACTGCTACATACAAAATGCAATTTTTTTATATTTATAAATATAGTCACGGTTTGCGGTAACCGCAAGTTTTGAAAATCAAATACCGCAAATGTGGTTCGGTTTCCCATGATTGCGATTCCATTGCGGTAAATTGTTGGTTGATTTTTGCGGTTTTTCGGTCTAAAATGTCACCCCTAGACTGACCGCCTGTATTTGTACGCGGAGTCCCTAATTAAAATTAAAATGTTCAAAATAAATATTTCTACCTGAAATTACTAAAAAATATTTATTTTTTTATGGTAGGTTTCATATTTATTTCATAGTTTATATAGTATAAGTCTTTTAAAATATTATATGTTTGTTATATGATATATGAGACCAAAAAGAAGAAATGAAAAGAGAATTTTTGTATATCAATGGAGGAAGTAAAGATGTGGAAAACAAGACAGGGATTCTCTACAATGACACTGTAGACCAATTGAAAGGGATGTAGTGCAGCTTGGTAGCGCGTTTGTTTTGGGTACAAAATGTCACGGGTTCAAATCCTGTCATCCCTATCTATTAGTTGTCGTATTTAAAATGAAAATTGGGTAATTTAATTTCAAAATTTTTTTTCTTTGAGAAATACATATTTTAATTAAATTTTCAGATAATGGAAAGGAATCCAATCGTTATGGAAAGAAATCCAACAATTGGCTCCATAAGGTTTTAAATTAATAGCGATATATATATATATCAGGAAAGAGGATTTGAACATTTTGACACAAGACTCCAAAAACCAAAATAAAAATAAAAATAAAAAAACTCCCGCCCCAGTATCTTTCTCCTAAAGCAATTAGGAAATGAATACATCTCTAGGGATTCATGAATCCTAGGTTGATTGGGAAACCAAGCGCATCCTATATAAACCCTCTCCATCTCCACAGACAGTTGCCTTATTCAACTCATTCTACATTTTCTCGTATCAATTTCTTGCAGTCGAGATACAACATAACTTCCATGGCCAATGAGAGTTGGAAAGTGGTGGGCGAGACGTATTGCAAGGCATGGCTGCAGCAAGCTTTCGAGCCCGAAAACGAGTCGTTGTCGTGCACCAAGTTCTCGATGGATGTCAAGGCCACGGTTCGGCGGTGCCTGCTGCAGCAGCCTATTGATTTCAATGAAGATATGTCGTTGTTTTTGGAAGACGATAATTGGAGCGTGGATGAGAATGAAGACACAGTCGAACCCCTAGCTAACAACCCATTTGACTTGGCCAACGTCATATCCCAAACCCTTTCTCGGCTTCAAGTCCCCTCCCACGCTCATCAAGACATGATTGACACGATCATATTGCCCGAAGCTTTTAAGGCCGCAAGGGAGCATTGTGGGGCGCCCAAGGTTCTACGTATCGTGGTGCGCGTCGATGTTTATGTTGCTGAGAAGAATTACATGGAGGAGGAGTTTGGGGGGACGGATGTTTTGGAGGTTGAGGATGACGGTAGTGACCAGCCTGCATTTGTGCCTGCGAGTAGGGCGTTCATTGAGAAGTTGGAGAGGGCTAGAGTCGAACTCTCGACAATGTGTTCGATTTGCATGGAGGATATTGTAGTTGGTTCCGAGGCGAATCGAATGCCGTGTTCACATTTTTACCATGAGGGTTGCATTGTGGAGTGGCTGCAGAAAAGTAGGTTTTGCCCATTGTGCCGGTATTCCCTGCCTGCTGATCATGATTGATGTGTAATCTCATTTTTTTTTTATAGTAAATGAATCGAATTTCATGTATCAATTGTTCAATTTGTTATCTATAGAGTAATTTGCTGATTCATCCACTTTTGACTATATTTTTGGTAATTTTTAGTCTTTGTTCATTCGGTATTATTTTAGGATACATTTATCTTGTTATGTTACTTCTCAAATAAAGAGAAGATATGAACTTGTGACAGGTAAGTTTTTCTTCCGCGACATACCATAATTTCGTTCATGACACACATATTTATTTCAATTTACCTTTTAGTGCACTTTTTTTGGCTAGTCTCAACCTCCATTTGATCCCCAAACTAATTAGATTTCCCTGTACATTGAAGGTTACACATGACACTCCAATTGGCCAATCTTAGACAAAGAGTTACATTAGTACTAACATTCCTAAAAAAATTGTGAGATAGAAATGACAAATAACCCATAATATAATTAAGAAAAACCAGTGAAGAAATGAAGAAAAACAGTATATGTAAAATGAGTAAAAAAAAATTAAAGAAAATAATGGTGAACATGAGGACAAATGTGAAGTTAAACAATATGAGAAGCCTTTGACACCCAAAAAAAAAACAGAGAAAAAAGACAATGAGTAGGCACAATATGTAAGTTTTGGTTTCAATTTCAATTCGAGAGGTAAATTGGACCTAATCGAACTGTGCCCACCTCTACATATGCTTAGAGCTACATAATGGTATTTTTGATAAATTCTTTCAAGTGCCCATTTTTGTAGTGTGGACCTAGGGGTGGTTGCAGTTCGATAACTGCGAATTTTTCCCAAAACTGCAAACCGACCGACTATTTGTGATAAGATAATTTTTGAAACCGCATAATGCGGTAAACGCAAAAATCTATCGGTTACCGTGAATTAACGGTTTAAACCGATTTGAATATTTTGGGCATAAATTAGACAATTTTAGATCTTTAAGTGTGGTCTTCTTGTGTTATAAAAATTCAATCTTCCACACTTTTAAGCCTAGGTTTGATGCTTCTTTTGAAACTTTCTGAGTTCAAGCATACTTTACCCAAAAAATATAAATTCACAATCTAAAGAAATAAATTCACAACCTCAACTTCTCAAGCATATATAAATTCACAACCTCAACCTCAATTTCTCAAGCATTCACAACCTAAAGAAAAATCCAATTCAAAGTTAATTAAAGTTACAAGCCAAAAGGAGAATTCAAGTGTAGGTGGTGGTGAGTGGATTTTATTATAAGAAGAAGTCATTCTTTATGAGTTGGAATGGAGGTTATGTTTCGGGTGTATCGGTTTGTGTTTGGGGGATTAAAGGCATTAGGTGTGTTAGAGTGGCTAGACTCCATTTATAATACAACACAACACAAAAGCATATTAATAATAGATTAAACTCAACCAAATTAAAACACAACATCTAACTACTAAAATGCTATTTAAAAAAAAATATATTTGCGGTTTGCGGTAACCGCGAGTTGCCAAAATCGCATACCGCAACTGCAATCGCAATTGCGGTTCAGTTTTTAAAACTGCAATTTTCAGTATGTTTTTAACTATTGCGGTTTCAATACGGTATAATGTTGGTTGATTTTTGCTGTTTTTCGGTCTAAAATATCACCCCTATGTGGACCTGTTTGTGCAGTTTAATAGTGTGTTCTCTCAAAAACACCACCAAAAAGAAAAAAGAAAAAAAAAGAGTGTGTCACCTGAAACGGCACCGTGTAATTAAAAATTAGGGCAGAGGATGACCGTCTGCTTAACGAATACCTGAGCTGCTCAAGAACTTCCGATCGTCTCTCTCCTTCTGTTCACCATTACTCTCGTCGTCGCCTCCCAAACTCCTTTTCTTTTTATTCAATTATCCGTGAATTTGTTACAATCTTATCCCTTGAACTCCGTTTGGCTGCTGAGAAACTGCTGGAGAGAAGAATTTGAAGAGTTTTTCCAAGTCAAATTAACCTCAAATCGAAACCTTCACCTCGTCTCTCACTTTCCGTTGTTTCTCCGTATTGAAATGGTAATCTAAGTGCTTCCCTTTTTTTTTTTTTTTCCTTCTGATGTTTTTAGTAGTAAGTTCTGAGATTGTTCATTTGCTACCCTAATTTTTCATTTTCATCTTAATTTTTGTTCGTAGAAATGGCAAATTGAGTGCCTAGCAGCAATGCTCTAGCAAATGTAAATCGGTTTTCGTTTTGGTAATGGACGTCAAGGCTTTAGCGAAATCAAATAGGGCTCACGCTCAGCGCCATAGTAAAAAGCATCATCCAAATCAGAAAGCAAAAGCTCCGGCGGTAGATGGCGGGAAGGCAAGCGACGCCGGACCTGCAAAGAAGCCATTGGGCAAGCAAGTTAAAGAGAAAACAAATCCTACTCATGGTGCCTCTGCACTCCCCACGAATTGGGATCGTTACGAGGAAGAATTCGAAGCAGGTTCCGAAGAGCCAGCAGGTGATGGGCTGAATAGAGCCCCTGATGTTGCTGTGCCAATGAGTAAAGGTGCAGACTATCGTCATCTGATTGCCGAGGCTCAGGCTCAGTCTGAGTTAACCATTTATTCAGACCCATTTCCTTCCTTGGATAATGTTCTACCTGGTATGTTCTTTGCTTCGATTTTATTGAATTTGGTTTACTTTTCTGTACAATTGAATAGGTAAATTTATGTTTATATTGGATAATTTTTTCAGCATATTTAGTTGATCAATTTTTTTTTTTTGGGTGAAATATTTGGTTGATCTTTGTTGGTTTGTTTATCTTGCAAATATTTATATGTGGGTTCAACTTGATTTCTGTTTCTTTTGTTAAAATTACTTTCTTTCATTTGAAGAACATACGGAGGAATTCCGTTAAATTCTTCTGAACCATGTAAGGACTCACCATAGGATGCAACTAACAATAAGTATGTGATAATTCACTTGAATCAGTTTTTGAGTTCTAACCTGCACCTTTATCCATGTGCAGCTTCATCAATTTTTGTTTTTCCTTCTTTCTGTTTTTCCCAATCAGTGCATATACTTCAGCTTTGGCTCGAAATTTATTTATGCGAATGACATTAGATTGTTCTGAGGCATGTGATATCTGAAGTCTTAGTATAGTGATGTAATTGCATGTCCATTTCCTACCTGATTCTCATATAGTTTCGTGGAGTTGTCACTAATTATCATTAGTCATTGTCTTTGACAACATTAAGTAAAGCTGTCACATAATTTGCATTGTGACCAGTGTTTCCAATTATACAGTAGAGACTTTCCTTCAGAAGTCGCTGGTTGGGAAAATAATAGAAAAAGAAAGCAATACTATAATCTAATACTGTTTACTTGCTAGAGAGGTGCTTATAGTTCCAATATTAAATTGCATATTATGCAGGGGACTGGAATGAGGGGATAGGATCTATGCTTTCAGTCAGGGGTGAGAGTATTCTGTCAAGGATTGGAGATGATAATTTTGTTGTGGAGGATAAGACTGCTGCACATCAAGAGGTAATGCATTATGTACTTTGTTATTATGAACATGTATGTATGTGATGCATATATGTATCTTTGCACATTTCTTAATGCATCTCAATCATATATATCTCATGTAATGGCTGAGAAAAAAATTCTTGTTGAACTTGAAAGAATGATAAGGCAATCATTATAGATGCACACAGACAGGATTGTGAAAGCCTGCTCACCTGGTAAACAGAAATTCAATGTTCACCAACTGTTGAATCAACATTGAATGGTTCATACTCAAATAGTGATAAAGTGCTTTTCTTTTATAAATAAATTGGGTTTCCGTGCTCACCCATGAGGAATAAGATTAGGAGCACGCATAAAAAAATTGGTCATATGTTACTTGGTATATAATTATTACGCAGGCATAAATATAACTTTTACACCCTGGGATATGCTGGGAACACATTCAATATATTTAGTCACTTGGATGCTTCATTTGTTGATATCAGGAATTGTGCTTTCCAATTTACTATAAAGCACAAGGTAATGCATGGTGGTTGGCTTTTAAACCATGCAGCCAATGGCTATGTTGGTAATTGGAGATAGGTTTTGTCCCATACAGAAATAAAAGAGTATAAAAATGAATTTTGGGAGTTATAAACAGTATGTTTCTCTATTGTGGGCGTGCCTTCCCAGATTTCTGCATCACATGTATTTTATGCATGTGTCATTTAGACTACTGAGTTTTAATTTTTGCAAGTGTGATATAAGGATGTCAGTGATTGATGTGCCTGCTTGGTCTGACAGACACTGGTTTTGTTGTTTGGTTACCTTAAGGATTTATTATGTTTCTTTGTAATTTGACTTCTAGTCCACAGCTATGTAATATTTCTTTTGCGTAGCAATAAAATTGGTTCTTCTATTCTTTTAATGAAATTCAGTTTTCTAAGTTGTGGTAAAAGCATGTCCTTGTAGTAGGCTAAATGAAATTCTTGTCCTTTGTTAAGCTATGCACTTCTTTTCCTTATTATCTTTTTTAGTTTTACTATTCTCCAAGCCACCTCAGCTTTTATTTTTACCCACCATGCAGGTGTCATTTCTCTCCTTGAATTTGCATGCTCTTGCAGAACAACTGGAAAAGATAGCCTTACCTGAAAGGCTTTTCATCGAAGCAGAACTTTTGCCGCCAGAGCTGGTACGCTTTCCCCAAACTGAAGAGAACTAAATAAATAAATAAAAATAAAAAAACTGGGTGCACATGAGAATGCATGCGGTTGTGGGTTTACTCTCTTTGTTGAAGGTTTAAATGTCCTTAGTAGTTTTCACTTGTGAAATGCCAATGACATTTTGAGATTACCATTTCTGCATTTGATTTCTGTATGAAATGTAATAACTAAAACTATGAAGCAGTTAATTGTAGACTACAGTAGACTTCATATGTATTGCTTGTTGGGTTTTGGGATGGAAACATGCATTGCAAGGGCAAACTCACAGGGACACTATAATTGTTAACAAGATAATGGTCAAAATTGGAAAAGGCATGGACCTATGAGCTGCAAGGACTACTTTTGAGTAGTAGTGATCAATGCTTAAATGTGTGGGAGAGTGACATCAGCAGATTATTATTCCATGGTTGTGGAAGGAAAGGAAGTAGTGGTGATAAAATTTACAGTAGCACGTTTCATCCTCATAATTTTTAGATGGTCGTTAATAAATATGGATTCTGTTGCTAATTTATGTTATGTGCTACAGATAAGTGACATATCCTTGTTTATGTAACAGCATGTGGAGGGACAAGATGTGACCTGCAGTCAGTCCTCTAATCGGATGCAAGCAACATGTAACGAGGAAGCAACCCAAGGAATGCCTCACGAATCAATTTCAGACAAGGTCCAGGTTGCTGATCATGATATTGAGATTACGATATCTGGTTCAACCGGAAGTGGGCATCCAGACCCAATCTTGCCTAACCTAGGATCAGTTTCCGTGATTCAGGGTAATATCAATCCAAGTAAACTTGGCAAATCTGATTATCAAAGCAAATTATCAGAGTGCGAAACACAATTCAGTGTGAAATCATTTGAGGCATCAACTGCAGAGGCAGAACTGGATATGCTTCTTGACTCATTTGGTGAGACCAAGATAAATGATTCATCTGGCTTCAGTTCTGTTAAAACTGTTTCAGGACAAGAAGCACCTTTCATGGCTCCACTTCAACTTCCGAGAAAAGCCCCAGATTCATCGGTACTCGCGACTGCTAACTTTGATGATGAGCTTGACGACTTGATAAATGAAACATCCGTACAGATCAGACAAAGTGGTCCATCTCAAGCCCAGAAAGAAAGGGCTGTCCATGAATTTCGATCATCCCATTCCGGGGGAACAAAGTCCGAAGAACAGGATGATTTTGATTCTTGGTTGGATACAATTTGATTATGTTAAACTAGAAATCCACAATATGTAACCTTGTACTTGGTTGTTCCAATCGGTTTACTTTTTCAATTTCTCTGGCCAATTGTCCCGATTGCTTTTCTTGGTTAGTTTTTGTCCATTGGCTGCAGCTATGGACTTTGGAAATCACAAAATGAAGAAAGACCGTCTTTATTTTGGTCAACAACAAATTCATATCCCGAACTCTAAAATCTACACACAAGCTAGGAAAATGCCAACAATTCCTAAATTCCAGCAAAAAAAAAGAACCAAACAATTCCTATAAAATCTACATTAAAATGAAAAAGTAAGATCAAAGCCACAAGGCCCCAGCTTGTTTCAAAACAGGAACCAATTCCCCAGATATATGAGCAGCAATAACACTTTCCAATCCCCCAAACAACTCACCGCCAATAAACACAGCAGGAAACATAACAACCGCCTTTGATTTCGAACCACCACAAATCATCTCCAACTCCTTTGCAACAGCAACTTCGTCCTCCTTTCCCTCATCAACCTCGTACACGGTTGGGTTGACACCGTGGCCTAAAAGCAAGCGCTGCACTACATGTCCCATGCAGCACCCGCGTCTCGTGAACACGATCACCGCCGTCTCCGACACCATGTTCTTGATCATCACATGATCATTCCTTGTTCCTTGGATGATTTTGTCTTCGGCCGCCACAGCAGTCGGATTTGTACGTCTGATCAGTGGTACTGCGGCGGTGGTGCCAATTGGTGCCCATGACTTGTATGGAATTGCTTGGTGCATTTTGTGTGTACTAATTAAGCAAGCTCAAGTAAGAGATCAGAGAGAGATTAGTATGCAATGTAGAGCTATTATATATATATATATATATATAACATTGAAGAAGGCAAAGAGGGTGACTTGGTAATTGAAAGAGTCCACGTCAACGGCAAGGTTAGGTATGCTTGTTTGTGCATGACGTTTACATTTGTGTCACATTATGCTTCTGCATACGTACTGCTGCTGCTGCATATATAATAACAATAATTTGGAATTTTTTTTTCTCCTTTCTTTAGTATCTTTTTCTGTTCTCTTGTGTGAAACCAGAATTACTGTGCGTTTGTTGAATAATTGGGTCTCCCACTTTTAACGCGTTGGTCCAATCAAATACGCACTTCTGGTGGTGTCAAAATAATAATATTGTGATTTCAAACGACGTCATGAACAATTATTTGTGATGTCTTGTAGATGTAGTACTAGAACTACCCAATGAAACTCCACAATTTGTCATAATGCCGTCCTCAAGTTAAGCAAATAAAAATCTATTAGGTCGGTTGTTGTTGGTGTGACGTTCTTTTTATGGGCTTTTGACTAAAATTGTCTGTGGATCAGTCCCCACACCAAAATGTTGGGAGCTTCTTTTATAGTGATAGGTTATGTTTTGGCGTTATAATGAAGGGTTCAATTCAACGGTCCAATAATAACTTTGAACTGAATCGTACTCCTCATTATAACCCTCATTCTAGTCTCCTTGCCAAGATGTAAGGATGAATTCAGATGAATGTTGGGTTTAAATAGAAAGATTCTTAAAATTTGGGATCTCATCATCTCGCATGCCTATAATTTCTTCTTTGTATGTGTATAAATGGGAAGTGTAACATGAGGGCTTGTACTTAAGACCACTTGGGATCACAACAAAGGCCTGAGCCAATCCAACTAACTGAGAGATTGAGAAAATCAAAGGGTTAAGAAAGCAGCTGGGAAAATTTACTGAAGATTTTGGACTTAAAACTCAGTCATTTACTGAAGGCTAGTTCAATCAAAACAAAGATGATTAATCTTCTTTAGTTCCAAAGGGCAAAAAGATTTAGACAAGTTTATATGCATCTTATTTACTTGAAAGAAAACCTAATTAATAAACTTCAAAGTCTAGGTAGGGCCAATTGGCCTTAACATAGCCACTTTAAACTTTAAGCCAATCATCATCATCATTATCATCATCATCATCAGCAGCAGCAGCAGCAGCAACATCAGCAACATCCAACTCTTCTGTGCTTTTCTTGTTGACATAATGAAGATACTCCATTTCACTGTTGATAGATGTAATCTCTTTCTTCGAACTCTCCCGATTCTAGTCAATCACAAAAAATAAAACAACAAAATAATGTTGACATTTGAAAATAGGTTAATTAATGCCTAATATGATTGATTATGGAAATTAAACAAACCTTTGGTTCTTTCGACAAATCTGCCACCACATCTTCATTTTGCTTTTGCTCTAAAGCAAATCTCTGATTCTGAAAGAAAAAAAATAATTACAAACAGAATAATTAAGTAAATAAATTGATTTGAAGTTGAGAACAAGAAAAAAATAATACCATTTCTTGCAGTTGAATATCTCTATCCTTAAGAGCGTTCTCAAGTAACATCTTGCGCATTTCAGTCTGCCCTAGCTTTTGCTCAAGGCGTTTGTTAAGCTCCTTGCTTTGATCAGCTTCATTCTGCAGCTGAAGCACTTTCTTGTTAAGCTCTGCCTTCACAAGTTGTTCCTTCTGGCCAAAAACTATCACTTGTTGTCTTTTCATCAGCTCACTTTCCTCCAGAGCTTCCTTGAGCTGCATATTTTCATCTTCAATCTTCTCAAGCTCTTTCTCAAGATGTTCCTTTTGAGCCTTACTCTTTGCAAGCACCTCCTCGAGCTCCTTCTTCTGGCGTTCACTCTCCTCGAGAGCTTTCTCGACATCTAGCTTTCCATCTTTAATCTGCTCATACACTTTCATAATCTGTTCCTTCTGAGTCTCACTAGTTTCAAGCACTTCCCTGATCTTTTTGTTCTGAAAATCACAGCCGGAAACAAGATTGCCCAATTAATCATTCTTATTTCTAATTGGATTATACCAAATTTTAGTTAGATTTCATCATTGAATAAAATTGTTTTTTCATTAAAAGAAAAGCTAGCTTAAATAAAATGATTTTAAGTTGAGAACAAGGAAAATACCCTTTGCCCAACAATTTTGTGAAGGCCTTCCTGGAGGTCCTTCTTCTCGCATTCACTCTCCTCAAAAGCATTTTTAAGCCCTAACTTTGCAGCTTTAGTTTGCTGAAGCTCTTTCTTAAGATTTTGCTTCTGAGCCTCACTCTTCTCAATAAATTCTTTAAGATCTCTCTTTTGACATTCAACAACAAGAAGAAGACAAGAATCATTATTGTTATTCAAATTAAAATATCAAACTACATCAATCATGATAAAGTCCTAATCATTTTGATTTTAGTCTCCTAATTAATTTTTGAGAAATTTATAATAAAACCTATTTCTTGCGTTGATTTTATGTAGACACTAAAAGCTACAAATTGAAGAAAACAAACCCAAAAAGGACCAGTTGATGTGTGAAATACCATTATTATCCTTACATTATGATTTTTAGAAAGAAAAAAACTTCAATGATAATGTTGTAATGTTTAGGTTTTTCAAGGCTTGTATGGTATATTTGGTCCCTTTGAAAAGTCAAAATGGGCTTTTTCCTAAGGTTTGAGTATTGTAGGGCTTTTTTATATCTCGGGTCCTACTTAGGGCTTACATGTGAAAAGCCTAATTTTTTTTTTTTAATATAACATAGGTACAGAATTTTAGGTCCTTAAGGTTAAGTGTGCATTATGATATACACAATTTTAAACCTACATATACATTCAAATTAATAAGAATAACACCTTATTTAAGGATGACAATCTAATTTCCTGTTACTTAATCCAAGAAAATAGCCATAGTAAATTTATAATTCGAATGGAGAAGAAGAAAATTACCATTTGATCCAACTGCATCTCATTCCGATAAAAAAATTTTACAGTGTGCTGTTGTTCTTCGTCGAGATATTGCTTATTCATCTCCAGCTCTTGTTTAAGCTCTTTCTTCTGACATTCACTCTGCTTAAGCTTTTTCTCAAGATCATTCAAAAGCGTTTTGTTTCGACGACCTTCAGTCTCCAGTTCAAGCACTTTCTGCTTAAGCTCCTTCTCAGTCTCACTCTGCTTACGCTCTGACACAAGATCTCCCCTTTTAGATCGAATCCCCTCGAGCTCTTTCTCGAGAAGTTTCTTTTCAGTCTCAATCCCAACAAGCTCTTTCGTCCGACGTTCACTAAGCGCAAGCTTTTTCTCAAGATCATCATTGCGCAGTTTGTTTTGATCTGCTTCCCTCCACAGCTGAAACAATTTATCATTAAGGTCTTTGTTCTCAATCTCCTTAATGTTCACTTGACTACTCAGCTCAAGCATTTTCTTCTCAAGCTCCGTCTTATCAGCCTCACTCCGCCAAAGCTCTTTCTCAAGATCTCCCATCTCAGCCTTAATCATCTCAAGGTCTTCCACAATATATCCCATTTGAGCCCGAATCTCCTGAAGCTCTTTCTCAAGATCTTCCTTTTCAGCCCGAAACGCCTCAAGCTTTTTCTTTTCAGCTTCACTCTCCGCAAGCTTTTTCTCAAGATCACTCTTAAGGTTTTTGTTTTGAACAGCTTCACTCTGCAGGTCAAGCACTTTCTGATTAAGCTCTTTGCTCTGAAGCTCTTTCTTCTCAGCTTCATCCTGCAGATCAAGAAGTTTCTTCTTAATCTCTTTCTGATAATCTTCCATCTTCTCAAGCTGTCCCTCAAGATTTTTCTTTTCAGCGTGAATCTCCTTAAGCTCTTTTACAATATCTCCCTTTTCAATCTCACTCGCCTCAAGCTCCACCTCAAGCTCTCTCCTCCAACACTCACTCTGCTCAGCATCTTCCTCAAGGATTTGCTTATCTACCCCAAGCTGCTCAAGCTGCTTCACAAGATCCTCATTTTCAGCCCTAAGCTGTTGGTTCCGATGAACTTCACCCTGCAGCACAAGCATTCTCTGAGAAAAATATTTGTTATTAAGTTCCTTTTCCTTCTGCAACTGAAGCACTTTCTTTCTAAGCTCCATCTTATCAACTTCCATATGCTTAAGCTCCGTCCCAAGATCTAAATTTTGAGCCTCAGTCTTGTCAAGACATGCATTAAGCCCTCTCTTTTCAGCTTCCAACTTCACAAGTAGTTTCTTATGCTCAATTATCTGAGCTTCAAGCGATTTCAAGGCCTGCTGGTGACTTGATTGAAATTGAAAGTATCCTATTTGCAACATAACATGAAAAATAATATCAGTTAGTTATCTTGCAGCCCTTTCTAAAGGCGAAGGGTAATCAGAAACCTTAATTATGAAAAACAAAAACCAAAAACCGAAAAAAAGACTCACCATACTCCATTTCTACGTACCGAATTGTGATCACCTACAATTCAGAAAACAAAACTACCAGGTTATAATTTAGCACATAGTAATTGAAGTATACCAATACAAATAACATATTAGAATTTTCGGATGAGTTACACTCAAAAACAATAGAACTCAAATTATTCTAACTTCCACCCGTACAAGGCAGCATCTATCAATTCGTTTCAAATACCTTAATTCTATTTCAATATAAATCGACCAATAAAGTCAATCATGTTAGTTTCTGGAAACTTTTTGGTATTAAAACTCCAGTCTGGAAGCCCTTCTTCCGCAATTTGAGTGATTTTGGATCCAATGGAAAGAGGGTAAAGCCCTTTAAAACTTTGATTTTGGATCCAATGCCAGAAAGAAAAAAATAAATAAAAAATCTTCACGTTTCTCTAAGATTTCTCCTTTAAAAAAAAAAAATTATATACCGATTTTGCAGTAATCAAACAAAACCCATAAGTCCATATGCTACGTCTTGAGATTTATTTCCTTCCCTACGTTTTGAGATTTATGCTCAGAAAATTAATTAGAAAGAACAAGCTTAACTATTCCAGCAATTTATCCCTTCCCAAAGTAATGTTTGTATTGATTAAAAGTAACCAAACATGATGGGTTTATCCATAAAATCATGCCGCTCGATACGATTCATGAAAACAGAAAAAGGATTAGGTGTAAGAAGGAATTCAGTACTCACAGTACGTAACAAGGAGAGCCAAGTTCCAAGCCTCGGTTTTGTCCCTTCTTCTAGGTTGAATGGAGATAGCTAGGGTTTGGTTGGGTGCGTGTTTTATACAGAGGTTTTTCCTTTATTTTCTTGTTATATATAACGTGGGAAAGGGGTCTTATATCTCCCAATTCTAACTGGATAAAAAATTAATAACAATATAATAATATTATTATAAGAAGAGATAGATTCGGGTTATTGGACTTGGTTATCTTGGAGGAATATGATTCCAATATTATCTGCAGGGTTTTTGGCTTTTGTGTTCCATGAGACTTCCTTATTGGAGAAGTTATGATCGGGAGAGTTATGCCCCTTTTGGGATTGTTTTTTTTACAAATTTATAAATAAACCAAATTTTAGACATGTATTTATAAAAAAACTCAAACACTATTTAAACATAAAAACACACACAAAATCAACCCCAAAATCAACAATTATATATTTGTTGGGTGTGTTTATAAAGTGTTTTGGATGTTGGGTTTTTTTATAATTTCAGTCCCCATTTTGGGTGTTTTAGTGAAACCCCCTTGTTTTTTTTGGCAAAAAATTTACTTTATTTTAAAGTTAAGCAGTCTAAGGTGTTTGGTAAAAATAAAGGAGTGCTACTGAACGAATCCTAAAATTAACTAAGTACACCCTACTACCAAACTATTTATTAAATTACTAATTTGCCCTAATATAAAATGACCAAAAAGGATAAATTGAATTATGAAACAAATGTAATTTTAATAAGTACACCCTACTCACCATATTCAACCATAATCAAACATAAGCAAAAAAAATCAAACTTCCAAAAACCTTAATATTAACTCCAACAATTTGTTTCATTGTTATTTATTAATTCATTGATGCAAACAAGTCTCATGGATGCTTCAGACGTATCGAGGGAGTCATCAAAAGAGGTATTAATTTTGGTTTTTTTGGTTTAGGTTGAAAGAAAATTAAAATTTATATGTGTCAGATCGTGAAACCCAGAAAGCTCATGCGCATACCCTTCAACTTGGTACTTCAGATGAATTCTTCCATGCACGCCAATTGTTTGACGAAACACCTGAGTGTGGTATCCGAAACAACAATAATAGGTGTTGATGCTCTTTTTCGGAGAGGGTCAACTTAGAGAAAAAGGGATTTGCCTTCAGCAGGGAAAGGGTCTGGGCCTTCAATAAAGGCTAGCCTGCAGAAGACAAAAATAGGGGAAGCAGTCGTCAAGCTCCGGGCACCGGTGTGGTGCCGGCCGAAGGCTCTCCGATGCTTAAGTCAGCTAAGAAGGGTAACTTTTGCAGAGTAATAGTAAAAGGCAGGAAAGTAATTACCCCTCTTACTAGGGTACTGTTCCCTTTTTATAGGGAAGTGAAAGTGGGAGGTTGGTGTAGATTTCCGATGTGGGACTCTGTGCAAGTTGCCGCGGTGGTGACACGTGTCATGAGAATTAGGTTTAACAGTTTGTGAGCTTTGGCAGTCGGGAGTTTCGGCAGGTGCTTGGCACCTCGGAAGAGTGTCTTCCTTCGGCAAGAGAGAAGGCGTGTCTGCCTTGGTGCTAGTTGTTTTGAGACTGGATATGCTCGGTTGATTATGGTGTAAACAATAGGCAGCTTTGCTTAGTAGCACCATCATGAAGAAGCTATTTATCTCTTTTCAAGCATGCTTGTTTCGAATATCAGACCCAACGAGTTCACATTTGTCACTGTCATTCACTCATCAACTGCACTTGGAGACCTAAACATAGGCAAGCAACAACTTCATGCATGTGCAACAAAGACAGGTTTGCATTCGAATGTCTTTGTGGGAAGTGCAATTTTGGATCTTTATGCCAAGTTAAGCATTACCCAGGATGCTAAGAACCATCATCAAGTGAATGAAATTTTATCTGCATTCGAATTTCTTTGTGCGTTTGGTGTTGTGTGATAAAATATATTAGGATGTACAAGGGGTATTTTTGATAGTTTGATAGGGTGTACTTAGTTAATTTTATATTTTAATTTAAATATTAGGGTGTACTTAGATCATAGGGTGTACTTAGTTAATTTTAGGGTTCGTTTAGCAGCACTCAAATAAAATATTTCGATTATTTTAAAAGTAGTGGCCTTTTGACAACATCTTTTAAAAGAAGGCTCTTGACTGCTTTTCAAAGCTGCTTTCAAAAGAAGCAGAGATGAACATTTAATGAATTTTTTTAATTCCCAAAATACCATCATTCATTTTAAAAAATGATACCACCTCCACTTCCACATTTAACTTCATTACTTGCACCACCACATTCACTACCTCCACAACCACTGCCACTGCCACCGCCCCCGCCACCGCCACCACCTCCTCCTCCAAAACCTCTACCTCTACCACCACCTCCACAACCACCACCACCATGCTGCCACTACCACCACCACCAATACCTCCACAACCGCCATCCCCATTACCACAACCACCAACTCCACCTTCATCACCACCACCACCTCCATTCCATCACTACCACTACCACCACATGATTAGTACATAACACTTTTAGCATCATGTCTATTTTTGTCATTATTCACAGTTACAACAATTTTATATTAAAATTTACCAAACGGTTTTGACACTGCTTTTTGTATTAACAGTACTTTAAAAATATTGTTTACCAAACATAGATCTGCTTTACTTTACAACTAATTATTTTCAAAGCACATTATTAGCAACTTTTTTTTAAAAGTGACAGCAATCCCAAACTGGGTCTTAAGAATTTGAGAATAAGGAATTGGAATTGAATTAACGGTTGATCTGATTCTTAGTTTTTAGGATATTAGATTATGGATTTTACCAGGAATTCTTATAATTTTTTATTTCGCATGTGTTAGTAAATGTAGGAGAAATAAGGAATTGAAATCATTCCAACACCTATATGTTAATACACACATTACTAATAAGTAACATGCAATTAATTTATTTTTACAAAAACAAGAACAACAACTTACTAGAGCCGATCAAACTGATAAGTACAATCTTTCTCACATTGTTGAGAGAATGACCCGAATCCACACAGTGATATTTACACACCTTCTATGCTCGGTAGTATTTTTACAAAACCCTTTGAGGTTTTAGAAATTGCACTAAACTCTCTCACATGTCTCAAATTGTTTTCACGGAACTTAGTCCTTTAATCTTTTTTTTTTCATTGAAAAATTAATAATTTTTTTATATTTTAAAAAACTTATGACAAAATCAACCTCAATAATCTATATATAAAGCAAAAGGCAGAGAATGGTGAAACATTCAAAATACCAGAAAATGTCATTGGTTAATCTAAACATTAAGAATTAAAATTATTAATTAAATGAGGATAATATAGTAATTTCACACTTTTTCATATTAAAAAAAATTAAAATTAAAAGAAAAATAAGATAATGAATCCTATTTTTATGGAACACAACTACCCATTATCTTTTTTAATTTAAAATAAATTACATTAAAAAAAAAAAAAAAACCCTTTAGCAGGCGCAGAAGCGCGTACGAAGAGGTTAATTAAGCTTTAAGGGTATATGTGCAATCCAATCTTTGAGTATCATTTGGAGTAAATTTTTAATTTTTAATTTTTATGATATCAACCATTTTTAGGTGCAAAATTAACAGAAAGGATTTTGTGAAAAAAATTTGAAACCTTAGGGCCAGTTTGGCGTTACTGTGCTGTAAAAATAATCACTGTCAGATTTGTTGTGAGAGAAATCAGCTGTGAAATAAAACAGTTTGGCGTTTAGTAAACTTTTTGTTAGAAGTGTGGTTGGTAAAAAAAAATACGGGGTTATTTTTGGAAATTTGAAAGTTTCATTAAACCCAATGCCTTTTCAAAACTGATTCCTGCATAATCAAAAAATGAAAGCAGCTCATCACCTGCTTTTCCTAATTGCTTTCTCTCATAGCAATTATTCAAAATAAGTGATTTTATTATCTTTTACCAAACAAGTTGGGCTTTCAAAAAATTTCAAAATAATCACTTATAGCCCCAAATAAGTAATGTCAAACAAGCACTTAGTGAATGTTATGTAATTTTTGAAATCTTAAGGAGTTTTATATGACACATGTAGAATAATTTTTTTTTAAATAAATTAAATAAATTATTTTTGCATACATGTGAAACTATAATTTATAGGAAGAATGACTTCTTTGAGCGAAGAGGCAAACAGTATCTACATAAAAACATAATTTTCATGCACATATTGACATTTTTTTATTCACAAAATTCTAGTGATGAGAAAAAAAGAAAATTAAATGCAGCAGTTAAATTAGGTAGATTATTTGTCTTATCCTGTTATCCTTCACCACTCAACTGCTTCTTCTTCCTCTGCTTCTCTCATCTGATAAGCGGACACAAACCTCCCAAATTCAAATCTTTTTATAAATAAATCATTTCTTATTATTTTTGCTTCCTTTTCGGGGCAAATATTTAAAAATTTAATTTATAATATAAGGGAAAAAAAAATGGCACTGAGCTCGTTCTCTATAAAATTTGGTTCCATTTCGTGTCCGTACGAAAACCTGAGGAACGGGACGTCTTCGAGACTGAAACTCAAGCATGTGCTTTTCGCTTTCGCTTCCCCGAAACCCTCGCTTCATATTTCGGCCGATTTGACACCGAAAGCGCGCTTTGTCGCTCGGCGAACCGAATCGGTATCGGTTCCGCAGCTCCAGCGGCCTCTAAGTAATGTTAGAATGACATTTCGGATTTCTTTCTATGCAATTTCATGGTTGATTTCTCAATTTTGTCAATTTTTGTTTTTGTTTTTGTTTTTTCCGGAAATTTATGGGTTTTTGTTGTTGGGTTTTTCAGGTGAGTATATGAGCTTACCGGCGAGTCAATACTCGGTTTTAGATGCAGAGAGGATAGAGAGAGTGGATGAGAATACATTCAGGTGCTATGTGTATAGGTTCAAGTTCTTTGCATTTGAGGTTTGCCCTGTTCTTCTTGTTAGAGTCGAAGAGCAGCCCAATGGCTGTTGCATTAAGCTCTTGTCCTGCAAGGTGTGTGTAGTTTTATTCTTCATTTTCAATTTTTTTTTCTTTTAAAAAATTTTATGAATATTATCATGTGCCCTTTTGTTCATTTATGCTTTGTTGGTACAGCTTGAAGGCTCACCCATCGCGGTTGCGCAGAACGACAAGTTTGATGGTGAGTGAGTTTTTGCTTAGTTTTATGAGAGTCAGAATTAGAAATATGTAAAGCCCGTTCTGTTGAAACAAATTTGTGGAGGTTGATTACGGCATGTTGCTATAACCATACTACTTTAATATTGCAAAACTTGATGGTTCAAAACATATTAGTGCACTCTATTTTCGTTTATTGTGGAAACAGGATAGCGATCATTGAGCTTCATAAGAACAATCATCAATGATTGCCTGCTTAATTTCAAATAGTTGTTTCGCGAGAAGCAGAACGAGTTCTGAGGTTTATTAATTCATGGTCTCGTGAGTACCTAGTATAATTTAGTAACACATACAGAATCAATTCATGTACTAGTAATCACTGCATCCTGCAACCTTTCGATGTCGCACAAACTTCTTCCATTTGTAGGGGTGTAAGTGAGCTGGGTGGTCGTTTAAGCTCTTCTGAGTACGTGCATAACCAAGCTCAAGTTCAACTATACTAGGTACTCATGAGGGTTGAGACCATGAATTAGTTAACCTTAGAATTTACTCTGCTTCTTGGTTTGGAAAGGCCTGGTATGGCTCATTGTCTGCTTCTTGATGTAAATATCAGAATTCTGAATTGGTCGAGGCACGATTGGATAACTTAGATAACTGAATGAGCTCGACGAAGCCTTTATTGAGCAGCTCACAAGTAGTTGTCAAGAGGCTCAACTCATTTACATCCCTATCTATTTCTCTTTAGTAAGCCTTGGGGGCCATGCAAGATAATTTTTTTCAAACTTGAACTGAAAAGGAAATTAATCAACTCTGAAAGTGGATGCGTCAAAGCTTAAGCTTGTTGAGGTCTTTGCACAAATCCGGATATTTACCCCTTCACAGATTTTAGAGTGAATCAATTGGTTATTTATGGTTTATCTGTTTCACAAATTTCGTCTGCACCAATCAGTTGTGTATGCTGGCTTTTCCACAGTTGTGAAAGCTGGCTGACTGCCAATGACTGCAGAAGGAAACTGTCATCATCTGAAATAATGGTATTCACTGATTAATATTGGTTAAACTTTTAGGTCAAAAAAGGTCCATCTGCAGAATGGTTTATGCAGAGTGTTTGTAGAGATAGTAGGGAAGGTGAATCGTGGTAGTGTATTTGGTTTCATTTCTCAATGATGAAAACATTTAATATTAAAGTGTTTCATTTCTACTAGAGAAGGCATTCGTTTTGTTGAGTCATTAGATTTATACTTCTTTTCAGGAGTTCTTTGACATTGATTTGGTATGGGAATGCAGCTTTTATGGTGAATCAAATATCGTGCACTAACAACCAAAGCAACTCCTCACTACAGCAACTCAGATCAGAAACTGTCATTGAGGTGTATATTGCAAGATTTTTTATTTATTTCAATTTTCTATATTGTTGCATAACTATGCTAATTGATATTTTACTATGTCCGGAAACTAACTTGGATTGTTTTGTGAAATTAAGGTGAGCATTGAGATTCCTTTTGCATTTCGTGCAATCCCAGCACAAGCTATTGAATCATCTGGGACACAAGTCCTTGAACAAATATTAAGAATTATGCTTCCCAGGTTTATGTCGCAGGTTAGTGGAAATTTCTTCGATACTGTTTTGCAGTTTGTCCTTCTGTGTTTTTATTTTTTATTTTTAAATCTATTGATTTCAAAACCAATCTGACCATGGTTATTTTAAATTGGAAATAAATATAAACTTGTCTTAAAAATTTCCTTTTTAGATAGGTAAATTGGAATAAATTCAAACCCTTGCTATTTGCATGTGGATTGTTGGCTTCTTTCTTTCTTTTTTGATGGATGGGCTGATAGCATAATGTTTATGCTTATTTTAAGAATTGGATTACTTTGTTCTCTCATTAGTCACAGTTTCTCTTTCACAATCTTTGATTTTTTTTTTTTTTTTTCCAAACTAGTAATACAGTTCAAGATAAATGAACTCGAGTTGTTGTAAGCCAAAGCTTGAATGGCCTTTGATTTGACCAAAATAAGAAAAAAAAAATCCTATGTAAGTGTGCTGATGAAAAAAGGGCTTTGGCTATGACGACAAACTGGTTCATGTGCACTGCTATGTGTTTCATCTGCATTACAGAATTCTATTGAATCAAAATTGATTTTCACATTGCATCTCATTCCGATTGAGCCATGGCGGACATGAAAGATGAGTATAATTGATAAAAGAAGTAAGCAAGAATTTGGTATAACATAATGGATGGGATTGATTTAAAGCAAGGGTTCAAAATGAGGCAAAATGTAAAATTCTATAATTTCAGTGAATAAAATCATTGAGAAACATTTTTTTCATGGGATTCATTAACAAATGTGAATTTGTTAGCCATGATCCAAGTTGATATACAGTCGCTCTCACTCTGTCTGTCTGTCTGTCTCTCCCTCTGTAGGTTTCAGTTTCCCAGTAGTTTTCTTGCAGATTAATTTTGCATCAGTAGGAGAACGATGTCATATGCTCTTGGGCTGTCTTGGCACATAGTAAATCTAGTGAACTGCTTTCTCAAATTATTTATGGATTGGATTGGCACAACTTGGCTTGGGGCAAACACCTATCAAAGGCTTTTGAATTTTGATCTTTGGAGTGGATATTGTTAGGACTCAAAATGCCACATTGGAAAACTAGCATATGTTGGGATGGTTTAAGAGCTATTGGGGGCCCTTCCCTTATAAGCCAGTTTTTATGGGCAAGTTTTACCCATGGACTCCTAACATTTGGTATCAGATTCTAGTTTCACCTCACAACTGGGCCAGACTCTACGAAAGGGGCAACTTATAGGCTAGATTAAGTTGGTTGGTATTATGTATGGGCATAATATCGAGTTGCCGAATACTAGTGGGTAAGTGAGAGCCATCTCGAAGGGAGGACATGGAAAGGCCTACCATCGGGCTGGTATCAATAGAGTGGGTAGACGAGGAGGTTGGGTACGGAAGCATACTGGAATGTTAGGGCTCAAGATCCCACATTGGGAAAAAAACATATTTTGGGATGGTATAAGAGCTCTTGGGCACCCTTCCCTTACAAGCCCTTCTTTAAGGGCAAGTTCTACCCATGGGCTCTTATGAGATATGTAGCTTTGCTTTGTTCCATAAAAATTATTTAAATGGTGTTTTTGTTTTTTATATGTACTGTTTGATTGTGGATACTCATTGTTCAAACTCCACGGTGCACTTTTGATGCTTGACTGCCAGCACCACAATGGAATTAGCTCTTTTATCATAGAAGTTATAAGATCAGCCTTCGGATTTAGGGTGTCTATTTCACTTCACTTGTAAGAAGATAGTTCAAAGAACAATATATGGATTTTGACACTTACAGGACATGATTTAGCATTTCAAATTATGATAAGATGTGACATCATACATTTCTGTGGAAGTTTGAAGGCGTAACATTCAATTTTGAAAGTTAGGATCCTTGCAAATTTTACCTCTTAAGTTTTTCCTTGTGATATACTTTGAATGCTCACATAATTTTTGGTGCAGCTTGTGAGGGATTATCGAGCATGGGCTTCTGGTGATAGATCAAGGCAGCCTCTTGGCACTGGTGAGATATGAAATTGTAGATAATAAGCGCTTGCGAGTTCTATTGGCCTCTCGTATTATGTTTGCTGTTCTGTTATATGCAGTGCGAATCATTTCTGCACACTTGTTTTAATTCTCTATTTTACTAGCTTGGTTTGTTCAAGAGGGAAAAAGATCAGGTAAATGTATCAAAGAAATGAATTTTCTGATTTGTTGACCTAGATTGCGTTACCAATGTCATCGGTAACATATTATCGACTCGCTCTCTGCCCTCTATTCCTACAATTCCTTACGTTTAGATGCTGTACCTCTTTGCAAGCCTAAGAGGCTTTTAAGACTGGATCGTTTTAACTGAACCAAATCTAGTTTTGGAGGGGATTCTAGTTACACCTTATAGCCATCTTTGGAGGCCCAGTTATTCTGCCCACCTATGTTCAAATTTTGACATCTTATATGGACACACATCACATCACACAACCCCCCATCCCCCATGTACCACTACAATTAAGAAGATGCCAAAACTTACCCTTAAAAATCATGTTATTTCCTTTTCAAAATAAATATCATATGTTATTTAGTGCTCATTTGGTATCCTATTAAAAAAAACTAAATTTTTTTTTAATTTTAAAAATATGAGTTTTTAAATACTGATTTTAAGATTTAAAACTTGTTTACTATTTTTAACATATAACAAAATTCAAATTAAAATAAGAAACCCTAGATTCCTAAATTGAAATTAACAAAGGAAAAGAGAGAGAGAGAGAGAGAGAGAGAGAGAGAGAGAGAGATAGTGTGTTTAAAATCTCACTTTATTTGTTTTCAATAATGTGAGTGTTTTTGAGTTTTTTTTTGGGTATGGGTTTTTAAAAATGGGTTTACCAAACGAGATTTTGTGGTCTTCGGACTTAAAATTTATATTTGAGTTTATAAAATTGAATTCAAATAAGATACCAAACGGACCTTTATTATCCTTTATTCTCAAAACATTTATAATAAAATAAAATAAAAAATAAGCAAACGAAAAGGCCCCAGAAGCTACCCAATAGTCATTTTTTTTCTTTGGTCGATGGAGCCAAGTTAGGCCACCCCGTAAGGATGTACTCTTCTCACCTACAAGTGATATCACCTTCTTTGTTTTTATTGTTTTTGGACAAGTTAAAGAAACATTTCTTCGAGGCTGGTCTTTGTAGGAAGGTGACTTTGCACAGTTTGCTTATTTGTTTTGTATTACTCTTAAGAAGTAAAGTAAATAAATGCATCAATGAAAATGAATTGCTTCTAGAACGAGGGTCTCACACCTGCAAAGACACATTATTTATACAGCAGAATACCATTAAATAGAAGGCCCAGGTGTTAATTGAAGTGGACATGAACCACTTCTCCCCATTAGTAGCAACCCTAAGAAGTTCCCAAACGTCAGAATAAACTAAGCCGACAACACCTCCATTGCCGCCGACCTCACCACTCTCGCCTCTCCTATCACGGCTTTGGTCACCTGGTTTTTCCCATAGAGAAAACTCCGTACCCTTTTTAGCTATTATTTCTCAAAGATTCAATCGAATTAATTTAGGTATTGGAGGGTTTTTGGCCAACACCCCCCGATTTTTTTTTTTTTTACTCATGTTTGATATTACAGAAATCGAAGAAGAGAGAGAGAAGCTCAAGGAGCGAAGGATCTTCAAGCGATTATTCTCCCGTGAGAAATTTGCACAAACAATATATATTCAACTTTATATAAAGGCTAGTACAAATTTACAAGCATAACATTTTTCTATTAATCTTCTATCTTTTGCTGCCTGGGTTACTGTTCCTACACAAAAATACCACATGCCCATTCTCTATAAGAGCACTTCCACCGTATAGCCCTTGCTAGGGCAGGAAGGGGCCCAAGCCCCGTTTCATGGTTCCAGCGGGCTTAAGCTGCCTAGGCAGCTTGTGGGCTCCACAAGCCTGGGTAGGCCAGAAGGCAAGAACAGCCTGGCTGTTGCTTGGGTTTGCTGACGTTAGCAACGAAAAAAACTTTAAAACAATCTTAAAAAATACTAAAAATTTTAGAATTTTTTTAAAAATAAATACTTAGTCATATTCTTCACTTTCCACACCAAAACTCTATACAAATTCCTCTTTTCATATCTCATGTGAATAATGGTTGCAATGGCAATGGGTGGAAACACCACAAGCCCTTTACAAGGGCTGTCATTATTCACGTAAATAGTAACAGACATTGTCTTGCCCTTGCTTTTTACCATGACAAATGGATGGAAATGCTCTAATCATTAAATACTTCCGCCCACTTGTAAAAAGGAAGAATCGTGAAGACAACCTGATGAGAACTCACCTGTCTTAATTTGGGTAACAGAGAGATGGCATATTCCCTTGACACAACTAGACATAAACAAACACCCAAGTGAAATATGTCTCATGGACCCAACCACACACCCTCTCTTTCATTTTCCACACCCAAAATCTCTATCCAAAACTTAGGATTCCAAATCCCTTATCCCTTCACACTTTTAAAACCCTAAAAACCCAACAAGCCTTGTGTGGTTGCAATGTGATTTTGTTTTCCAAAAAGGCCACTAATTCTGACATAATTTTATTCTCCACATGGAAGAGTAAGACCAAACCCTAGATAACTCCAAGGGACCAAAGTGTGATGGAGGAAATGATTTTCTGGCTTCTTGGAGATGGAGTTTTGCTGAAAACCCTAGAGAATTGAGAGGAGACAATCTGCATGGAGTTGAGCAAAACCTAGACAGATTACCTAACGTATCCTGCACTGTTTTCTCCTTTCCGATGCCTTTGTCCATATGTTAATGGACACATGTAAATAATTGTGCTTGTATTACGGCTTTGGGCACTCATTTGTACCTAATGGAAAATGGCATGTCTGGAAATTCATTGCCAAGTAGCCACATTTTTCATATATTTTTATATGTTTCCATCATTTTGTGTTTGTTTTGCTTGTTGGGATATCAATATTTTATGTCGGTTTATTTATTTATTTATGATTTTCCGAAACGTGTTTCATGCTATATCACCTATTAATTTTGATTAAACGTCAATGTTATGAAATTTTAATGTGGCAAATTATGGTTTAATTTCACATCACATTACTTATTAGATGTCCCGTCATTTAATCAAAATGACCATTTTACCCATTAGCATTTCTCCTTTTCATTTTCTTATATAATTCCTCCCAACCCAATCTATCTTTGCCACTCAAAATAAAAATAATGGCCAAAATCACTCCACATCAACATGTATATAACTCAATCACTCACAATTCCCTTTCCAATTATCTGACTCATACCTTAGAAGCTCCATTGCTGGTCGACAGTCCACCATTGCAAGGCTCTTTGTTTCCACTTGTTATTGTATTCTATTTTTGTTGCTTTTTCACTAGATCAAGGAGAGAGATATGAAATTACCAGATTTACCTGTCTGCATATCTTATCAGAGAGAGATTAAAAAAACGATTGCTTTTATTTTTAGATTTACTATTATACCCAATATAAGAACTCAAATTATAGAAAAACCTTATATGAAATGAATTTTAGAAACACACCAAAAGCTCATTTACAACATAATAAAGAGGTTTCTAACTTCTTATAAATTACTAAACTGCCATCAATTTCTTAAAACAAACTCAACCCCAAAATCTCATAAATAAAAAACTTAAAAAACTTAATAGGGCATCTAAGTAATTTAATAATCAAAATTAAATTCAATAGGGTTAGCTCTCATTTTTTGGGTTTGGTTATAGAAATTAGATGATGTAGGGTTGATTTATATCATTAGTGCTAAGAATGAGTATATGACTAAATATCTCTTTATTTTTTCATAGAAAAGCCCCAATTTGAAAAGAAGTAATCAAACCTAAAATAAGGCGGTGATTGATTGCATTGTAGAGCTTTTTGAGAACTAACCATTTTTGTAGACAAACAAACGGGAGCTTTTATAATGAAGTGCTTATATTGAGGGTGGGTGTCCAATTCTGCCGTCCAATAATAATTCTAAAATTGATCGAATAGATATTAAATAACCCCTTACTATAACTCCTCATTATAGTCTTCCTGTAGACGGATGTTGCTCTCTTTCGAATATAAAACAATAGGGCCATGCTTGCTAGGTTAGCATTTTAGGGGCTACATTTGTTTATGTCTTTGTTTATTTATCTACAAAAGTTTGGTGGTCTATCCACTTATTTGCTAAAGGTCAAAGCAAACGCATGGGTTTTCATTTCACATAATTAATAATGGGAGAAGGAACGCAATGTGTCTCCATGCAGAAACAGCAGATGCACGTGGGCTCCACTGTAACATTCTTTCCTTGTCAGCATGCATGACAGATCCAATACAGGCAGGACACCTGTACCTACATATGCATATTTCTAGATTACGACAACAGGAGAATTCTTTATAATTCTTATCCTGCTCTATTATTAGCTTGAAAAAGAATAAAAACATCAAAACAGTAAAAGTACCTATAAGCCCTCGAGGAGCATTAGATTAGGAAGATCATAGCTCCTTCTAGCTCTGTCCACATGAACTTTTACCCAATATCCTCCAAATAATATATAAAATGCGTATAATACACACCCAACAATAATTCCAGTGATAAGGAATTTTTTCAATATAGAGAAATATATTTCGAGGATCGATGGTGATCACTTTATCTACAAATGTTTTATGTCATCTTTCTATATTATAATACATGCACACAGGGGCGGAATCACTAAGGCCATGTTTGGTACGCCTCACTGAATTGGATTGAGTTAAATAGCATTTGAAATCTTTGTTTAATAAGAGACGGAACTAATTTAAATGAGACTATATAGTCCAATAGTGAAAAAAATGTCTCACTCACTCTTCTAATACAGTGACCCAGAAAAGTGATTTGCTAAATAGAACAAGTGAGTCCGACGCATCTCTTTAAAAAATATCATAAATTTATTTATTTTCTTTTAATTATTGTTTTAGATCTTTGAATGGGGTTTTTTTTTTTTTGGAGCATTTATTTTTGTAAGATAAAAATCCTTGATTAAATTTAAATATTACAATAATTATTTTGATATTGCATTTGGAAAATCAAACTATAGTAATTTACAAATGTTTGATATTTTTTTGGATATTGCAACAAGTTTAATAATTCATGATGTGATGCTTTCTTTATCGCAAGCAATTTTTACCTTGTCAAATTCTATTTTTCAGTTTGAAGTCAAGAGTCAAATATACAAAAATGATACATATATATGTATATAATTTTTTTTTAATTATTGTTTT